GTGTCGTTGGCGTCTTTAATGTCTGGTGTAAAGGCCGTATATGGGATGTCTCTGTTTTTTGGCCCATTTAGCTACCCTCCACACATCCTTCATCTCTTGTATCCCGGATATACGTTCCCGGTGTTCTTTTGTGAGGGCCTTGTTGATGGTCTTTTTCTTTGTCCGTCTGGCCATCTGGAAGACCATGTAGTCGATGTCATCGCCGGTGGTTCGCCATCTTCGTCGGGCTCTCTTGAATTCCTTGATTGCTTATGTGCATTCGGGTGTCCATCCGGGTCTTGAACGTGGTCCAATCCTCGCCTTCGGTGCACTGGCGTGGATAGCTTTTCTTAGTGCCTCTTGGATCTTTTCTGTTTTTCTATCTATTTCGGCTGGTGTGAGTCCTGCTGGTTCAATTTCGGGCAGCCAAGTTCGAAGCACCTCGGTGAAGACTCCCATGTCGATCTTTTTGATAAGGTATCGCTCCGCCTCTTCAGCTTGGGTGATTCCGGCTCCAAATGTGGTCACGAGGGGCAGGTGGTCGGATCCTTTGTCCAGTTCTGCCCCGGGGGCCTGCGCTGATAAGACGTTCCAGGATGTCTTCTGTGGCAAAGGTCATGTCCATGGTGCTGTCTGACTGCGCGTTTCCTCTGGCTATCCTCGTGTGGCTCAAAGCATAGGTTTAACCCATGCTGCTCCAGTATTTGTAGAAGGTAGTCAGCAGCGCGTGGGCATGCTATTTCCTTGATTCCTGGTCCCTCCCAGAGTTCATCCCGTAGGTTAAAGTCTCCTAGTATAATGTTTTGGTGGGATCTTCTTTGATCCAGGGCGCGGTTGAGCTTTTACAGGGGGGAGCGATGTGGGAGACCGGTCTCTTCTTCAAACGGTGCTTCCGGGTTGGGGTTGTATATATTGTATACTGTAATCTTGCTGCGTTCGTCTTTCATTTTGAGGGTTATGGTCGTTAAGCTTGGCCCATAATCAGTGAGCTCGATGCGCTTTGCATCAATGTTCTTACTAATGAATGTTGCCACTCTTGCCTTGGTGTGATTTGGTATAAATACTTTATACCTGGTCTTTGCTGAGTTGTGGGTCTGGATTTCAGTGCCGAATTTATTAATATACGGCTCCTGAAAGGCGATGATATCTGCTTCACCTAGCACGGGGTCCCTTAGGACCTCCGCCATGGTGTTGCGGCTTCCGCCTACGTTGTACTGTGCTACCGTTATGGTCTGTATCCTTGGTGTGTTTTCACTTATTGCGTCGCGCTCATGTTTTCTTTGACTTTCCTCGATGGTACTGCTGGTCTTGATGAAGACCTATATTTCAATGTCCTGATTGTCCCCGATAGGTCAGACTCTTCTTCCTGCTCACTCTTATTGTTGATATGCAACGAGATTTCCGGCTCCTCGCGGCGGGCACTGCTGCTCCTCGCTTTTGACCGTGTTTTCCCTCTGGTTTCTGACCTGGATCGGCTCCGGTCGTCATGTCGTCTCTTCCTTGGGTTGGTACTGATCTCTCGGAGTTGTTGATTCGCGGTCTTTGGTTTCCTCGCTTTTACCAGGATGTACTCTTCTGGGTCATCTGTCGCCTGCGATCTTGGGGCATTTTGGCTTGCCGTCGGGACTCCAGTCCAGCTTGTTCCTTTCTGGTTTGCTTGTGTTGGGATGTGATCTGTTTCTATCTTATCGTTTTGTGATCCTGCAGGGCGGCTGCCGACCACAGAAGGTCCTGGACTGACCTCGTAGCATGGTTCGGGGTAGAAGGGGCGGGCGTTTAGTTCGGCCTTTGCTACCTCTACCCTCCTTATCTCGTCTTTATATTTTGGACACTGTTTTGACCAAGAGTAATGTGCGCCGTGGCAAAGACAGCATCTTGGGACTGAGGATGTGCAGTCCTCAGTGTTGTGCTCGACAGAGGCGCACTTGCCACATGTCTCTTTGTTCGTGCAGAAGGTTCCTTTGCATTTCCCATATTGGTAGCGCTTCAGGCATCTGATAAACTGACATGTCGGGTCGTGTCTGCGTACCACTCGTAGTCCGTGGCTCCATGCTAATGTCCCACCCTTAATAAGTATATTGGCTCCTTCAGGCGTTTTGCAGTCTACCACGAGGCTGCCGTCTTTCTGGCCGTCTCTGTATTTACGGTACCATCAGCAGTCGACTACCATGTTATGTGACATTACTTGTCTATTTTCAATCCTGAGCTGTTCAATAAACGCTGTCTTGTTTCCTGGGTCAATGGATTTGATTGGTATCCCATGTATGATCACTGGGTAGACTGGCAGCATCACATCTGCCTCTGTCGCTACGAATCCCTTCCAGTCCTCTTTATGCCTGCGCAGGGTCTCCGCTTGTGCCGCGGTCTCCGAGTGCTCCCCTGAGGTTATTGGTTGGCCTTTTACGCGATCGAGGTGAAGCAATACGTTCCGAAGATGTCCCGTAAGCCGAGTAGCGTGCTCCCATATCGGTATTGGCCATGTCACCTCCTGTGGCCAAGGGATCGTCATCTCGCGTTCCACACGCGTTGGGTGACACGCTGCAAAGGCGAACGATCTCAATTCGTCCAGAGTGACGTGTACTACTCAATTTCAATGATTCGGGTTCTCGCTGTTGTGATGTTTTTTTTGATCTCTCTCTTAAAAGATTGCATTTTGTGGGGACAAGTCAGAATATATACAACAATATATAATATCATTATAAGAACAAGCTTTCATCGAAGTATATCTATTTATACTATTTTCCACTTCCTTTTGCTTCCTTGAACGCTGCACATCAGCAATCTTAATCACTGCCTAGCTTAGGCTGGCCTTTCAGTGCGACACCTCCGAACCGTGCATAGCAGAGAAAAGAGCTGCTACAACCGTGTAGGAATTAAACCAAACCAAACGCTAGGAAGCTCATCCCTCCCGAAGTAGCTTGCCCTAGATAATCGGTATTGGAATATATTCCTAACATATTATTGAGGATACCATATTTGTTGATTGTATTGTATACAAGCCGAAACTATTTACTGGTTAGTTCCAGGATCCTCACATTTTGCGCCCTGATAAACGTAATTGCATGCATATTATGTTTAATGAGCAATATAGCGACTTGCCCAATTAATCCAAATACATGCATCTGGTCTAATATGCTGTTGGAGCAGTAATAATGCTGCAGCGTGCATTCCAGTAACTATTAAAAGATAGACGCAGCTGTCCATGCATGATAACCAGTTTTCTAGACTCTCCTCCTCTAAGATGCTTATTCTTCGGTATTTGGCGAGTAGGTCAACGCGTGAAACCATCTTTACATATGAGTACTGAGTGTGGTTCGAGGCACGTTAAAGAGGCCTGCAGCGTCAGAATTATATTTTTTTCTTTTCTGAGAACTTGCTTAGAGTTGATCGCATGGACTGCAAGAACAAGTCTGCCATCTATTTTCAAGCTGAATTTGCGATTTGGTGGAGCCATTGTGGATTTAAGGTGATGTGTTGGAGAAAGCTATTAAAAAAAAAATGACCGCTTGGTTTGGTTTGTTTTGGCTTAAATTTCTACTCGGTTGTAGCAGCTCTTTCCTCGGCCGATATCTCCAGTTAGGAGGACTTAGCGAACAGCAGACACAAGATAAACTTTTTAACCCATCTCGTCCCACTTCGCCCTGTATAACCTAAACAAAACCAGTCGTCCTATCCACCCACCCCTTTTACCCTCATGCAATCTATTGTTACGAAGTAACACGTGAGTAGTCATGTGAATATCATTCTGATCATTTTGATCATTTTCTTGAAAATGAGCAGAATGAGCGCGTTGACCAATGGTTAAGGGCTAGGGTACTGCTGATTGGTGGAAGTAATCATTTCGCTCATTCTGAGCAGAATGAGCAAGGCAACAAGAACATTAAATTTGGGTCTATAAAAACATCCTGTCCCTACCTTCATTACAGCTCTAATTCAACTGTCTAGTTTATCTAGTAGTTAGTTTGAATACATTCTCATACTCTTGAAGCTCATGCTATTCTAAGTCATAAACATAACTATCTTATTATATTCCTTCCATAATAAGCTCTGGTTATATCTTGTTCCTTTGCTCTAGGAAGCTAAACCCTTCCGAAGTGGCTTACATTAGCGAAGCTAGTCGGTACTGGGAAAGAATTCCTAACATCTATCTACAATCTATAGTATTCCGCATGTATGCTCCGTCCCTTGTTATAGTACTTTTTGTTCGCGCAATGCGAAGGAGTGCTCTATATGTGCATTAAGTTGTGGCTTAGATTTGCAATAACACAATATTTAGTGGCAATATGCCTTCAATCTCCCTGGTACTTGGCTTTGTCTGTCTCTGTTGCCTCCATTCCTCGAGGCGCAAGACTTCCCTAAAATCAGTTTCCGTTTGTTTTCGCTGCCGCATACCCAGGTTCTCATGCGGCTGTGTTTGATGACGTAAAGCACTTTCGATGACGACGGTGGCAGCGTCTGTTATAATGCCCTTCCACAAGTGGGCTGCTCCGCTCGTGCGGACTATCGACTTACTGAGCATGAGAGCTCCGGCGTAAGTCTGCTCAGACCTTGTCGCTTGTGTTGAAGGGGGACAAATTCCCTCTCCACGGGGTGGGGGCGCAACAGTGCACGAGGCTGTCTAATAGCTGTACTATTGTATGGCACTGATTGTGCTGTAGACCTGCCGTCTCATAGTAGGAGCCATTCTGCTGCTTATCGCCCACTTGCATGCTGTGTGGGGCGCCCAATCTTGCCAACGCTATAACTGGAAGACGGTAGTCTGGAGAGAGGCTCAAGGCTGCGTGTGCCAGCACAAAGTTCGGTGATCCGCTGCTGATAGGGCTCCTTCGATGCGTCTCTCCTGCTTGCTGGGTCGCGCAACTGCTCTTGCCAATGCCATGACTGGGAGGCAACAGTGTGGGAAAAGGCTCAAGGCTCTAGACGTCAGCTTGCAGTTAAACGATTCGCTGATACGACTTTAGACAAAGCTGTCTGGTAGCCGCAGTATTTGGAAGATCGATCGGAGCGTTCCGGGTGTCTGGTGTTCGAGTCGCGTGAGAGATTTTGTCGTTCTGCCGATAGTTGTCGGTACGGGACATTGCAAACGTTGACAAGGGTTGATGATCCAGCCAGGGAATCCATCGATAAACTGGATTATGTGACATTATTTTGTTGTGGTGTGTTTGGGCCTGGTCGTCGCACACAATGTTGCTGGATTGCAGTTAGATGGCACTCGCAGTCGTCTTCGATGAACGCGTCGTGTTGTGTAGCATCCTCGTGTGTTTAGTGTCCTTGCCATGCCATGGTTGCGACAGCGACATCTGGAGGAGCCTAGTTTGTGCTGAGGGAGGTATAAGTAACTTCTAGAGGCTGTCTCGGCCACTAGCAGGCGTGTTTCGATGGCTTTTGGATGATATTATTGTAGAATCCAGGAATTGAGTTCTCGCTGTTTGTGGTGTTCTTTCTAAAATGATCACTTGGTGGTTGAAAACTGTAGCATCTCAGTAACTTATACAAAGGTCATGCTCTTCGGTCCAAAACAACCATTGTAATAAGGACTAATCGTTTGTCTTCAAATGTGAGCTTGTTCCCTCAAATTGTTTCAAGCACAACTTTGAAGTATGAGTTATTTTCCATATCTTATGTCATTGTGGCACACAATGGCCACATCCACTTAAATGTCGACAACCCTGTCTAAATCTTATCGTCTTGATTGCAAACTATTGGCCATTCAATCAAATACCATATCCGATGAGTATTGCACTGAAATCTGAGAGACATTTCCTTTACTCACAGTCAAGAATTTTGTCTAATTACGAGGTGAATGGTTTGGGAAATAGGAACAACTACGATAAGCACGAAGCTAAAGCTACCGTAAGCAAAGTCAATCATTTACCTACGCAGAACTTTTCAAATACTACACCAAGAACCTCTTCAACATCTCCAGCACTGCCATGTCCAGTAATTTTTGCGAGCGAGTCTGCAGCAGCTCGTAAAGCCTCTGCCGCCGCCACAATGTCAATGTCTCCAATATCTCTTGATGGAATCATCGGAATTTCCGATAAAAATGAGTTCAGAAACTGCAAACAAGTCTGAAGCAGTCGCCTTTGGCGTTCGGTAGCTCCAAGTGATTCATGTAAGGGAGATCCAGAGTGCGTATCTACAGAGATCGCCTTCGTCATAGATTTAAATATTGCGACCAAGGCTTCTTGAAAGTTGTGTATGCCTTCATGCCCAGGGGACGTACAAGAAGTCATGATTATCGAGTTCGGTTCAATAAATGGTAAAAATCTGTGAAATTGATGCTTGAGGGAATTCCAGTGCGAATTTGGTGACACTTGTTTGTCATCGATCCGGTCGATTTTATTTACGACAGCCAGCATGTGATTTCCTTGCGCCGCGCATTGTGCCGCTATATCAGTGACCTCATTATCCAAGAGTAGACAGGCCTCTCCCGTGTAATCGCGTTGAACCTCAGTGATAACAACGACGACATTGGATTCAAGCGCACGTTGCTTTGCACGTCTGATACCTTCTAGCTCTATGGCTCCAACCTGCTCTTGCTGATTTGTTGTATTGTGCTTGCCTCTAAGTCCGGCCATATCACTGAAGCGACACAAATAACCCCCGAGATCCATACCAATTTCGACAATGTCGCGGGTAGTTCCAGCCTCATTGCTGACAATTGCGGCTTCTCTATCTACAACGCGATTGAGCAGAGAGCTCTTTCCTACATTGGGGCCTCCGAGAAAGGCAACGCTAATGCCGTTGCGGAGAAGCTCACCGCGCGTAGCATTCTGAACATGCAGCTCTATGAGATTTTTCAAATGCCGGACCTGAGATGCTACCGAGGATAGTAGCGTTTCCGAAGATTCGTCAAAATGCTGGTCTTCTGAAAAATCGATAAGTCCCTCTAGTTCGCCTCGAGCATGTTGCAGTTTTGTACGCCATTGGTTGTATCTTTGGGTAAGAGTTTTGGTCATACCACGTATTGAGAGAATCCGCTGTTGCTCTGTGGTTGCAGCGAGAATATCACCCAGTGCCTCAACCTGCGTCAAATCAAGCCTATTGTTATAAAACGCTCGTTGCGTGAACTCACCAGGTTCTGCGTAACGCACACGATTATGAGCAGAACCACATTGCGGTATCGCTTGCAACACTGCTTTAATCACTGCTGGACCGCCGTGAACATGCAGTTCGAGTATGTCTTCTCCAGTTGCAGTATGCGGCGAAGGAAAGAATAGGACAAGCGCTTCATGGTCGAGTACTGAATCCATATCTGAAGGAGATGTAGGGTCATATAGAGTACGGACGGTGGCGAATCTAGGCTTTGGCAAAGGACTGTTCGGGCAAAGAGCACGATATATCTTGACTTTGATGTTAGCAGTTTTGAGCAGAAGAGTTCATGCCTACGCACATCAGAGCAAGCTGGTCCGGATATCCTGACGACTGCAATAGCGGATTTTCCTGATGGGGTCGAGAGTGCATAAATAGTATCCCTCATACGTGGCGCATAGAGAGTTGAAAATGTTGACCGAGACGGTGAAAATGGACGAGCTACGTGATTGGAATACACAACATAGTGAAGGAATGGTTGCGCTGCAGCAATCGTTCTAAATGAACGCCTTATGACGCGTCGCTGAAAGCATGCCAATGTTTTTAGCAGCATTCTGTGAAATGTATCAATCAAACAATAACAGAAAATTTATGAGACGCACTTCGGAGACCAGTGTTGAAGGAGAGTAGGGGTCTAATTAAGGCTTATTAGTTAAGTCCTTAGTGGTCCCATGACCAACCCATACTAAATTTTCTCATGCAGGTTTGAAAAATTCAAAACGTTAACTGCACGGAGCCAAGCTAGATAATAGATAACAAAATAAATCATGGCGTCAGACGAGATCGTGTGGGATATCATAAATAATCAATTCTGCAGTTTCAAAATCAAGTACGTATTCTTTTCCCTAAGTATTTCCCCTTTCACTAATTCAATAACGTAAGAACTTCTGTTAATCAGTCATTCTGTCGAAACGAGTACAACGTTTCTGGCTACTGCTCGAAGCAGCACTGCCCACTTGCCAACTCCCGCTATGCTACTGTTCGAAGCGACGCTGTAACTGGCAGGTTATACCTCTATATGAAAACTGCTGAGCGAGCGCACTTGCCTAGCCGATGGTGGGAGAGAGTGCGATTACCTTCGAATTACAGCAAAGCGCTCGAGGTTATCGATGAGCGCTTAATCTATTGGCCGAAGTTTTTGGTACACAAATGCAAACAGCGTTTGACCCGACTTACGCAAGTCGCCATACGAACGAAGAAGCTGCAGAATGAAGAGGTTCGCCTTGATGAGCGTCTAGTGGCAAAACTTGCACCCAAGGTCCGACAAAGAGAAGGAATAATGGAACGAAAAGCGGAGGCATCAGCGAAAGTCGAACGGGCTATTGAGCGTGAACTCATTGAGCGCCTTCGGAGTGGTGCTTACGGGGACCGTCCTTTGAACATAGAGGAGGGATTATGGAAAAGGGTATTGCGCGGCCTTGAGAGCACAGGAGAAGGAATTCATGATGAGGACTTAGATGATGGTATTGACGAGGAAGAACTGGAGATGCTCTCCGAGAAAGAGCTCGAGTACACTCACGAACCTGCTGCTGAGGTTGAATATATTTCTGACGACATCGATACGTCTTCAGAAGGAGAAGAGCTCGGCGACCTCGAAGATTGGCTTGACGGCACAAGTTCCAGAGACAGTGCTATTGACAATGAGGAACGCTGCAGAGATAATGCAAGCAGAGTTACGAGTCCGGTAGAAAATGTCAAATCAAAGACGTCAGTACAGCCTTTGAAAAGGAGACAAGGAGCGTCTGGAAATCAACCGCCACACAAGAAGCCACAGACGGGGCCAAGGAGACAGATAGAATATGAGTTTGAGAAGGCTGAGCACGAAATTCCGCAATTCTACAAAGCCTGAATTTCAAAAATAATCATATAACTTAAGAGGGGTTCCTTGATACATGACTCTATGACAAGTTAGTATAAGACTTTTTATAGTATGAACTTTTTGAAAAAGATCTATCATAGACTGTAATTAGTTATAATTATTGGAATCCACTGAAAGATTCGTCAGGTAATGCTAACGCAAGCCACTCTAGAAGTGATACGTTTCCTAGAGCGAGAAAGGAGTTAATGTCACGGGACTACTTGAACACAAGAGAACAACATTGTAACTGTGAGTCACATGAGCCAACCTTAGCGAATTGGCTGATATTAGAGGATGTTGGCGGCAATTGGCCGACCCTGGTTCTATTAAGGCAACAGAATGGTGACTATGATATGTCGTAGGGAACCCCGTGAAATTGAGTCGTTCACTGAGGGTGCCAAACCATTCTCCTCCAGAATGTCGTCAACCGTAAAGGGTCTTTTGAGGAGCAAGAGTCTGTCTGGTTGCTCGAAGCACGGTAGGTAGTGCATGTGCATGGTTCCTGTGAGGAAGTTGTTCAGGTATGGCGTGTTAATTTCCATTTGTTGTACACTGTAGTTTGCATAGCAGGAATTCGTAGTCGTATGCGGAGGCTGTCAAACTGTACAACTGTGCATATGTATCTTCAAAGGATATGCCTAGGACCTGAGTGAAACCTTGTGCGATAAGGCGTGCTTTATAGCTCTTATTGCCAGATATATTGTATTTGTCCATGAAGACCCAAAATAACCAACAGGCTTATGAATTGTCTCAGTGGAGTTAACAATTGACCAAGCTCTGTTCGATCCATGTGATTCAAGTTCTTTGTCTTGTTTATAGTCCCCTGCCGTTATAGCTAATCAACTGAGCGCTTTACGAACAAAAGCACGTCAATAGTGAGTACTCCCATTCTTAGGAAATAAAGAGCTTAGCTATGTTCATATATACCTCCTGAAGACCGGAAACCGCTTTCTCGAAAGCCACATCGCCCAGTGTGGTGATGCGACATGGCGGCACTTTGCTCCCGGGAGACAACTAGGCGTACCAACCTCCGCGAGCTTGTCCTAGAAATCACGAAGCAGCTCAGCGACACATTGCAAACCATAGAAGTAAACAAAGAGATAGACAGAAAGCAACTCAGCGAAGCCCTCAAGAGCGTACTACTCGCGCTCGTTGGAATCAAAGAGACCCCTTACGTGGCCACTCTGAGAGAGAAGGTGGATCAAATGCGCACGGAGACAGTGAAAGGTTGGAAAAGCATTGACGAAACCTTCCGGGGCATTCAAAAAGGATATAGAGGTAACAAAGGCGGATATACAAACAGCGGCAACAAGTCAAGAGGCGAAGGTGGCCGCGATGGAGGCCGCCGACATAGGCAGAAGAGTAATAGGAATAGTAAAGGACATCAAAAGCAAGGGAACGCAGAAGCAGGCCACGGCAAGCTATGCCGCTGTGGCAGCACAAAGTGCGAAGGCAGTTAATAGACATAATCCACAAAGTGCGAGGCCACTCGCTCAGACGCACCGTGAGATCATCGTGAATATCAGAAATGCACAAGCCATCCCGCACCTGCGTAGCATGAACCCACGTAACCTGAAAGACCACGTTGCACAAGCTATCGCCCAAAGCGGAGAAACCAACGTAAAGGTCATGTCCGCCAATCAACACATGAGCAGAGACATCAGTATAAAAGCAATCACACCAATCGAAATGCAAGCACTAAGACAATCCGGGCAAGAATGGGTCCCTAGGATAGGGACGGGATGTCAATATGCAGCCAGACATATGGCGTACTTTACGCACTAAAGACGTAGAGATGGACAGTTTAGATGATATTAGCACCTCTAACAGAATCCAAGCATCGCCACACTACGAGTATATCAAGGAAATACGACAGAGAACGTACCCGGGAGCGAAAGCATCAGCGCAATACCGATTGCTCAGCCCCCTACAGAAGCTCAAAGAAGCCCAAACGAAGGAAGACCCGGGTCTGATGCAGAGAGAAGTGATCCAACCCGGGCTGTTCGCATCCTGGGAGAGAAAGCTCCAGATAGTAATAGTAGAAAAGGAAGAAGCGGTGGAGGCTGCACACAACACGGAAGCACAGGACGCGAAGGAAGACCCGAGCCATTGGTGTTGTCCGGCATGTCCTCCAAGAGTGCCCCAACTTCAATAACCTGCGCAAGCGGGTATGGCGCAGGGTGCAGCCTGCCGACATGAAAGACCTGCTCGACAAGGACGCGAAACTCACCACCCGATTCCTGCAACAAACCGGCCTCCTTGGGCAACTCACAGGAGCCATTATACAACAAGAGTGGTAGTAGGATACCAGAGATGCAGACAGGGGAAGACGGTTAGTACTAGGGAATAAACCAGCCACGGAAGGGCCCTAGAGACGGGGCATCCGCCCATGGGGCCCGAGGCTAAAGTACAGTAAATAGAAGGCAATAATTAGAGGGTAGCCACCCTCCAAAATGGGCTATGCCCAGGGGGACTCTGAACCCGGCAGCTTAACGTCATTCCGGACGGCCGACTAGGCGGTTTGTTCTGAGGGGCAGGCAAAAGTGGTAACGCCCAAGGGCTAGGGAGCGGCGGAGGATTAATGCTTGCAGTGCTGATCTGTAGGATCAACCTACCCAGATCGGCGGGGTAGATAGTGGCTATGCTTTGTAGAACACGCTGGCATGGCGGCCGTAGGCCAGCCGAAACGGCTTAATCAGAATTCCAAAAAAAAAATTGAATTATTTTTAAGGATCCAGAAAGCTGTTAAAAGTAAATATAGGGGGAAGCATAGCTGTGGTACGCTGGGCATTCACGCCCTCTCCCTTTTGCTGACGAGATTAATGAAAAAAAGGGCAAATAAAAAAGCGACGATGCCCAGCGTCTGCTTGTCCCGCAAAGCTTGTCGGAACAAAACAGAAGCCAGACATCGCCGCTTTCTCCTCCAGTGTCTACCACAATACATTTGTATCGGATCCAAGACAAAAACCATCTCCCAGCCAGGGATCAGAAAAAGGGCAGGAAGACAAACAGAGGCCTC